ATATGGGGCACCCCCTTAGTTTTTTCTTTTTTGATATTTGTAATATCTATACCAACTTTCAGTTTTCTACTGCAGCCAATGCAGGGTGCTCAATGGCCTTTAAATGCGCTACTGGATCGCTGTGAAACCGGCAAAAATATTGTTGATTTTTATAAAAAACTACTGTTGCCATGACAACTGAAGCTGGTGATATTTTTTTAGATAACTTAAATTTGAAATGTTCTTAGGTTACTTAACCAATTGTATGATTAATATATGTACAACATACTTCTAGAGCAAAATATGAGCATAATGAGCATTCAGTAAATTTATACTTTGGAACGTAAGGTTTGGACCCAGCACCTCTTTCGGCAAGAGGAAAAATTTTTGAAGGTGCTCCAAACCCTATCTCGGAAACATTTTTTTTTGGACCACTCTAATGTACATGCACATGTACGCACACAAAATACGTATGATGTGTATAAGCATGCATGCAAGTTTTTAGCATTCCATTAATGCTTCCTTTATTTGCTCACATTGCAAAATTTGCTGAAGTTCTCGACGATAATGTACTTTTCGTAAAAGGTTACCGTTTGATTACTCTGAATACCGAACTGTTTAAATATTTCCTGTTTTTTTGGCGGCAATCGCGATATATGTGTACAGACCCCATCTTCAACCCTATGCGTTTCATGTACGTCGAAGTTTTCGTAAATCATCAAATTCCCTAAAGCTTTTGGCATCAGACACCTCGCGGGCAATGAATCAAAGCCACATGTTACTCTTGAGGAGGCGCTGCTGTCCAATGAACCTCCGGCATTCGGGCCAAACTCCATGCTATCATTCGATTGCTGCTGAACCATATTTTTTAGATCTGAAAAGTACAAACGTTAAAAAACTTAGTAATTACATACATATGTTTTTTAAACGGTAAGAGGACACTTAAAAATGAAAACAGGAAATGTCAAATGAAACTGTGTAGCACAGTGAATGCGTAGAGCACCTTATTTTAGTGTACATTTGTCATTAGAAAATCAGTGAAGTTTATAAATTTTTAGATTTATCCTGGGATTCAGTAATTCAGTCTCATCTCAAATCACTAAATTTGAGATTAGCAATTAGTGATTATTTTTGTGACTTGAGACGATTTGGGTATTCAGAAGGGGAGAGTCACAAAAAGTTCACCAAAAATGTGTGGTGAAAGCAAACACAGACAGTCAACTGAGTGTTTATGTCTGCCTTGTGCCCGCGCCGCTCAAGGAGTCGCAAGGCCGAGTGGTCAAAGCATTACGCTGGCAGCCGAGAGGGTCCGGGTTCAAGTCCTCCTCGGCCATAGAGGATTTTTTTTATTTTTATTTTTTTTTATTTTTTTGTTAGTTTTATTTTTTTTAACAATCTTTAGATTTTAATGTTTTAAAAACAAAAAAAATAAATGTTTTTCAATATATTTTTATGATATTAAAGCATGTTTTTTAATAAAATGGAAAGAAATAAGCTTTTCTTCCATACTTCTATTTTTGTGACCGGCTCTTAGCCGGCTGACAAATTAGTGACTTATTTTTGAGACTAGAGACGTGAGACATCGTACTGAATACCAAATAGTCTCAAAATCCAAGTTCATCACTGTCACAGCACGCCCTTTCTATGGGTTAATACTCGATGGCAACAACGTTTGCACATCTTCAGGAAGATGCACATCTGCAGCAAATATCACAATATTTAGTTCTTATTTCCGTTATTCGTATTCTTTGTAATTGTTCGTGTTAAAATTACTGCGTCATTCTCCTTTGCTCTTTGGATGCATATTCGCTTGAGCCTTCGTGTAAAACCGTTTGCGCAATGGAAATAAAAGGTTTCCACCAGCATCAGCGCGCACAAAATTTTTGTTAGCCGTCGTCAAGCAAAGGAGAGGGACACACTGCGGTGAGTATATTTGCGTTTAAAAATTGTCAAATTGTTAAACTTATAAATTCTTTTACACAGAAATAAACGGCGCCATATTTATCGAGCCCGATTTTCCAGTTAAATTCGCCAGTGTTTTATTTATTGTATACGGTGGCTAACAAGCTTTATTTCGCAGTCGCAGTATAATCTGGAAAGCCTTCGTTGGGTGTTGGCGCATAATTTACGTTTATCGCAGCGGCAGCAGTTTCACCTTTATTGCAAATATTTAAAGCGACTTGCCATACGTAACATTTGCATCACGCCATCGATTTTATTGTTTTTTGTCTTGGAAGATGACACGTGAACTTCCACGCCGGTGCACCCGCTCAAATGCGGAAAACGATTCCAACGACGCCACCAGCCAAGCCAGCAGTGAAAGCAATACCACTGCATCAAACGCCGCTTCAACCTCCGAAGTACTTGTTACTGCGACTACCAGCGGAGCCCCAGCCAGGGCCTCCACCACTACCATTGGAAATGCTAATACCCCAGCCAGGGATTTTAGCGTTGCTGCTCCAGCTCCATCTCCAGCCGGAGCCACGAAGAACCTCCCGGCTATGGAAGCCAGTACTACAGCTTCATCTGCCATCGGAGCCACTAAGGTTACCTCAGTGAGGGAACCCACCAATACTGCTCCCAATGTGACCGTAGCCCCCAATGTTGTCCCAGCCAGGGAACCAAGCAACGCCGCCCCTACTGGCACTGGAACCGTCAAGAAGGTTCCTACCTCCACAGCGTCTGGAGTACCCAAAGGCTCCTCGACTATCAAATCTCGACCAGAAAATGATCTCTTGGCAATGGAAAGGCGAATCGCTTTGCTAGAAAGAATGCTAAAGGAACGTGATACGCAGTTCGAAATGATGAAAGTGGCGCTCCAAGGTAACGGTGATAACGGTAGCAGCGCTGCCACGATACACAGCGACGTTGCAGCGCAGCCGTCGCCTACGTTGCCGTCAACACAACCGCAATCCACGCAGCCGGTAACTGTGCATACAGATGCGGGGCCAACAGTCGCCGAAGCCCGTTATCTGCCGCCAGTCAGTACAACTACCGTGTACAATTCAGCCAACATGCCATCAGACGCTTTCAGTATCACATCTACACCGCATTATATGAACGCTGCCTCAACTGCTCCTGTTGAGCCAATTTCCAACCGTTCGTCTCACGTTCCCTTTCAGTCCGCTTCTGCCTACACGGGTTATGGGAACATGCAGTTCTTGCCTCACGATTCTAGGGTGTTAAGCAAGATAATTGATTTGCCAGAATTTGGTGGAAAGGCCGAGGACTGGCCTATATTCCACGCAGCGTTCGTTGAGTCAACAGCGGCCTACGGCTACACCAACTTCGAGAACAACCAGAGGCTACGGAAGTGCTTGAAGGGCGAGGCACGCGAAGTGGTGAAATCGCTGCTCATTCATCCCAGCAACGTCAGCTGCATCATCGACCAGTTACAGTTCAGGTTTGGCCGGCCGGAGCAGCTCATACGCAGCCAGTTGGCTCAAGTGCGCGAGATTGCCCCTATTTCCGAAAATGCGATCGGGAAACTGATTCCATTCGCCACGAAGGTGAAGAACATCTGCGCCTTTCTTCAGTCTGCCAATGGTGAATATCAGCTTTCTAACCCGACTCTTCTCGATGAGCTCATTGGAAAATTGCCTGTGAGTAAGCGGATTGAGTGGGGTACCTTTGCATCTACAATAAAGCCTCGGGCCACTGTGGTCCACTTTAGCGAATGGATCAGTTCACTTGCCAACGTGATCTGTATTGTTTATGACGAGGAGCACGGACGAGATTCGAAGCGTAGAGTGGTCCTACATGTAGATAAAAAGCAGCATACACGAAGATGCCCAATCTGTCAGGGTGCTCACACAGCAATTGAGTGCAAACGCTTTATTGAGTCAACAGTAGCAGACCGATGGAAGGAAGCAAAATCACGTCGCTTATGTTTCGCCTGCCTGCAAGCCGGTCACTCGACACGTGATTGCCATCGAAGGAAACCGTGCTCCATCAATGGGTGCCCTCGAATGCACAACAAACTGCTTCATGAGGTTTCAGGCAGTATGAATAACTCGCATCCAGAACCACCACCTAGTCGCAATGGGGGTGAAGCACTATCGCAGCGTGCGGCACGCCAACAGCACAGCAGTAGTCATACGCCAGCGCAACAAGTATCTCAACGCCAGCATTCAACGAGTGACGCAGAAGCTGCTGTTCTAAGCTGCTCCGCTAACGCATTTGAAGGTAAGCTGTTGTTTCGTATACTACCGGTCACTTTATATGGAAATCACAAGAGCATCGACACATACGCATTGCTGGATGAAGGCTCCTCAGTCACGATGCTGGACAACGGACTAGCCCTGGAGTTGGGACTGCAAGGACAACAACAGCGCCTTAACATACAATGGTTTGGTGGTCGCTCAGCGCAAGAGCCTTCGATCTTGGTAAGCTTGTCTATTAGTGGATGCGGCATGAAGAAGAAGCACACGCTTCGAAATGTGTATGCGGTGTCGAATCTACAGTTGCCTTCACAAAGTTTATGCAGAGCAGACTTACACTGCGACGACAAGTACAAACGTCAGTTGCCAGTTCAGCCATACATCGGGGTGATGCCAAAGCTTCTCATTGGTCTCGACCACTGCCATTTAGGCCTGCCATCAACTACTTTGAGGATGAGAACAAATGGTCCTTTCGCCGCCAACACCGAATTGGGCTGGGTGGTGTTTGGGCCAACAAGTGAACGCCTGCCAGCTACGCCTTCTTGCCTACTTATCAATTCTGCGAGCGATGAATCCCTGCATGACCTGGTTGCTGGCTACTTTGCTGTCGAAAATTTCGGGGTGCGCTCGTCACCAGCAATCGAGAGCGCAGCTGATAGTCGTGCCAAGTCTATTTTAGATTCGGTCACACGTCGCGTTGATGCTAGATTCCAAACAGGTCTTATCTGGAAGCGAGATGACTTCTATCTACCTAATAGTTACTTCATGGCGCTAAAAAGACTGGTGGGTATCGAGAGGCGCATGAGCCGAGACGCAGGCTTCGCAGCAGCTTACAAAGCAACGATGGACTCCTATATTGCAAAGCGGTATGCACGCAAGCTCGACCCATCGGAAGCCTCAGTGGTAAAGCCTCACACTTGGTATTTACCACATTTTGCCGTGGTGAATGCCAATAAGCCATCGAAGATACGTATGGTGTTCGACGCGGCAGCTGAGGTCAACGGCGTCTCTTTGAACTCCATGCTGCTGAAGGGTCCGCAAGAGTATCGACCTCTGCCGTCGATTCTCTTCCATTTTCGCGAAGGAGCAGTCGGAGTATCTGGGGACATTAAGGAAATGTTTCACCAGGTGTTGATGCAACCCGAAGACAGGTGCGCCCAACGATTTCTTTGGCGCAACGGCGATAGTGGTAGGCAACCGGACGTATACGAGATGTGCGTTATGACATTTGGCGCTGCTTGCTCGCCATGTGCAGCGCACTATGTCAAAACTAGAAATACGCTCGAGCATCGCATTAACGCCACAAGCCGAGCGGTGCAATCAATATTGGCCTACCACTATGTCGACGACTTCGTTGATGCTTTCGACTCGCCTGCAGAAGCCATCTCCATCGCGCAAGAAGTTCGAGCCATTCATCTGGACGCCGGTTTCGAGCTCCGAAATTTCGCTTCAAATTCACCAGAGGTAGTTGCAGCTTTGGGTGGCGCAGAAGATACGAAATTGATTGCTAGCAAAGAAGGTCTGGCGACTGAGAAGGTTCTCGGTCTATATTGGCAGTGATTCCATTGAAAATTATGTCAAGAAGCTATAACTAGCCTAAGAGTCGACTTTATTTCGACTATGAACATGCCTCAATAAGTTTCGAGAGGTAAAATTATGAAAGTCTTCATATACATGGTATAAAAGATTTGAATTACTTGAAAACACTTTTTTTCCGCTGAGATCCTTTTTTTGTGACTTTCGAAAAATAAACCAAAATATAAGAAATACCAAACGTTTCGGTGTCGTTTAGTTTCGATCATACAAGGTAACGAAACACAACAGATTCAAATCACTCGGAAGCATTTTCAAGAGTATTACCGAATCGTGATTTACATACTGTACCTAGATCTTTTCATTGCGCATTTGCAAAATCGATTTCTAAAACACTGGGATATTTTTTCTAATTTTGCTTGCCTCTTTCCTGACAAAACACTAAATTCATGATTTATTGTTGTGAACTGTTTTAGAAATATATATCCATTTTACATGATTCGGTGCCAGAAATATGCTCAAGTTAAGTTTAACTATGGAGAAAACGCATCGTTGGTTTAAATATTCAAAATTTATTTGAAGCTTTGGATATTTTTAACTCCGATGCCTTTCCAAATGTTCATCAAGTACTTAGAGTCGTAATTGTTTTACCCCAGCAGTACGGGGGAGCGACTACAGGACTGATGAATCGGTAGCTACCTTGTAAACTCCGTCAATTACCGACCGACTACTTGCAGTGTATTTCATCGATTACTTTTACAAGGCAATGTCCTAGGCGGTAGTCACAATCGGCTCTCTCTGTACTACCGGGAGTTACTAAAGTAGTCACTTGCGTTATTTATGGGCGCCCTCTGTCGTAGTTTTTCGCTATCTGGCTCGACTCTGCACTACCATGTGCCTAAGAGTCGGTGCAGAAGCGGTTCAAAAGTAGCGATTGACTCCAGCAGTACTGGAGGGACCGTATACGACTGCCACAAATGAAAGAACGTTTTCAACTTTGCTCCGCCTAAAAACTTATTTGAGATCAACTATGGAAGAAGATCGTCTCGATGTGCTAGCTTCCCTCAATATTCATCGCCATCTGGGTTTTAATGTTGACTCAGTATTAAAAGAATGTGTATGTGAATGTGTGTACCACGGCGAATCGCACTATTGAAAGCAGAATAATTTAGTAAATAACATCATGAGACTTGTTTGAGTTGTGGTGAATTATTTATGTTCACAATTATACTCAAAAAGAAATCCTGCGGCCGGCCCTGTGCACGACAATTTCATTTGTATGGGTGAAAATACCTAGCACCATCAACAGAAAATTGTTAAAAATAACTCGATTTTCTAGCGTCTTGAAATTTGCACTTGAACCTACTAACATTTAATGAGCTACAAAACTGTATACCCGAAATTTTTCTAAAAATTCTAAATAAAAAGTTAAAAAATTTTGGGTGCAAATCATGGTACAGTAATTACAGGTATTGTCTTCCCAGAGAGTTTTGCTTCCCTTCGAAATTCGTGCTCCCTTATTCTCTTTTTGACGCAGTTCAATGTTGATTCTTGTACTTTTATTTCGCTTTGCTTTTTGTTTTCGCTCAATTTTATTTTTATAATTTTCAAAACAAAAGAAAAATCATTTGAAATGAAGTGAGCCATACAAATTTTAATTTTAATTACTAAGCAAACATTTTTTCGGCTTTTGCAAATTAAATAAGTCCTCTGCAAAAATTGTTTAAAAAATACGTGTACATACGTGGGCAACAATGATGTTTTTCAAATAAGGCAGATCGGAAGATGCGCTCTCTGGGAAGACAATACCTGTATTTATTGTACCATGGGTGGAAATGTTAAAGTTTGTTGAGTTTTCATAATTTTTGTACGAATTTTGAAATGTGGATTTATGCGGCGCTGGTTAGGTAAAGTGCTAAAATTTTATAAAAACATATAAACATTAAATAAACAAAAGAAAAATAGCCAAAACTAGTCAAAATGTAACTTGACTTCATCAGTTGACCACAAGTGTATATGAAATTAATCGCATACTAGACATATTGCATTAAAACCGTAGCCGGAGTTGCCACCCTAACTTCAATGTACGAAAAGCGCTAGCGCCATTAGCACAAAATAACACACGAGACCAAGGCGAATTCTTCAAGAAACTACATTTATTTTGGTTTTGTTTTTGTGTGGTGAGAATGTCAGAGAATCTTGGCAAACTTAAATTTTTACTTTAGTCTAGACTGATGAGAATATCGTGTTTTTTTTTCTGAATGGCTGGAAATTGAAGACATGAACTTGGACGATTTTTTGTTTTAGCAGCCATGCCATAATCTATATTTTTCTCATATCTACACTGTTATTTTAAATTTCAAACATAAGATGTGATATTAAAGAATAGGGCCCGAGGGTGTGCAATAAGGTTTTATTTTTTAAAGTTGGAACCCTGTAATGGTACAGTGTGATTTGAAATTTGATGAAATGAAAGACCAATACCATGCGAGCCCTCTCTTCACTTAGGAGCGGCTGGACAGATTTAGATGAGACATCGTGAATATTTTTAAGGTTCTTAAATAGGGGTGTGTAGTGTACACTAGCGCGGGCCGAAAATCCGCTTTTTATAAGCTTTTATTATTATTATTATTATTATATATATGAAAAGAAGCGACGATCCACTGCTTTACATTCAGATGGAGGACTAGTGTTACCACCTTCTGCTCGTTATAAGATTTTATTTAACTTGGTCATCCCGCGGAAATCGCGAAAATTTCCAATCGATTTTAAACTAACTTCCCGACAAGTTAGAGACTTGAAATTTTCAGCATAGTTCCAATCACGTCGACAATGCAATTTAAAATATAAATAAATTCCCCATATGGTCCAGGGGTCTTGATTCAAAGGCGGTCAAAAAATAGTAAGATTTATGGGTAACAGAGCGTAATTTGCCAAAGAACGTAAAACCACTATAAAATTGTTAAAACTGCCGGCGATAGTGTAGCAAAGCTATGTGTGGCAAATTCTAAATATCAACCTAGTCTAGATATGAACCTCGTTGTAGGAATTAGAAGACTCCAGATGTCGCCCCGACAGAAGAAGTTAAATATTGCGCCTAAATATATGCCATTTACATATGCTACAGCGGAAATGGGCGACACGCCATTTTTGACGTAGAATACGTCTTACCTTAAGGTATGGGGGCTATGTTCAAATGTTGTAGTTGTAATTTTTAGAGCTTCACAAAAACGCTTATTGCACGAGAACTAATAAAGCGATTTCAAAGAAAAGTGTGGCGTTTCAAAGATAAAATTCCAAACCTGTCGACAGATTCATTTTTGTAAATAACCAATTCGGTTTCTGTCGTAAAAACAACGGTAAACATTGCCTTATTTTGGGGTCAATTTTGAGCCTTTAAAGTGCTCTAGCAACTTATTGTTGGCATATATAACTTTCATTTTCGGGATATAGGTTCTTTGGAGCAGTAGAAATATTATCGGGTACAAATTTTATATAAATTTAACAAATATTAAGCATTTTAAGGCAAAAAATTGTTGAAAAAATTTGCAAATTTTTTTCATTACCAAAATGCTCGAAAACCGCTTGAATGATTTTGTTTTTGTTTTCTTTAATCAAAAATTCAAGAGTTTTCCTTTCGTTTGGTATATGGGAAGTATTGGTTGATATCTTCTATATATGTTTATTTTATTCAAATATATGGGCATAAATGATTTTCCATACAAAATCACCTCGTCATCATTTTGCAAACACGTGCATATGTTGGAAGTGTGGGAAGGAGACAAAAAGTATGTATGCGTATGTAATGCGGCTTTTGATCGCAGCGTATGTACATATGTAAATGCATATATACGTACATATGAAAGTTTCAGTTAATGTGGATCTGTTTGGTTTTGTTATCGATATTTTTATCGATTTTGTTATCGATTTTGCTATCGATTTTGTTATCGATATTTTTATAGATTTTGTTGCCGATATTTTAATCGATTTTGCCATCGATATTTTTATCGGTTTTGTTACCGATATTTTCACCGATTTTGTTATCGAAATTTGTATCGATGTTGTTATTGATTTTGCTATCGATATTTTCGGAACTTATCGATATAATGATCGATATTTTTATCGATTTTGTTATCGATTTTGTAATCGATTCTGTTATTGATTTTATTATTGATTATTTATCGGTTTTGTTATCGATATTTTTCTTGATTGTTTTAACAATTTTGCTATCGATATTGTTATCGCTTTTGTTATCGATATTTTTGTCGCTTTTGTCATCAATATTTTTATCGATTTTTCTATAGATATTGTTATCGCTTTTGTTGTCGGTATTTTTATCGGTTTTTTTACCGATTTTGCTATCGATATTGCCATCGCTTTTGTTATCGATAGTTTTATCGATTTTTTTATCGAATTTATTACCGATTTTGTAATGAATTTTTTGATAGATTTTGTTATCAATTTTGTTATTGACTTTGGAATCGATTTTGTTATCGATTTGGTAATCGATTTTTCGATAGATTTTGTAATCGATTTTTTATCGATTTTGTAATCGATTTAGTTAACGATTTTGTTATCGATATTTTTATCGATATTGTTATCGATTTTATTATCGCTTTTGTTATCGATATTTTTTTCTTAGTTTGTGCTTTCGTTTTTGACTTGGATATGCTCTTAACCATACCACGTATTCTACGTTTAAATTTAGCGGGTGTATCTCCGATACAGCCTGCAGACCAAGACGAAGGCGCTGGACTGTTCCTTTTTTTTTTTAAAATTAACTGCTGCCATATGTACATGTGTATGTTTCTACAAAACCTAAGCAAACATTTTGCTTGCCAAGTCTTCTGTTCTCTTTCATTGCAAGTTGAATTATTTTAATATCTATTGCAAAATTTTGTATATAAAATAAAATAACACTTTTTAATATACAACGCTTTTATAAATGGACTAAAAATTAGAAAATAAAATAATGTTAAAAAAACACATTTTTTAAAAACAAGCTTTTATTTAACATGTACAATCAA